ACACCTAGGGACATTCCATAACCGGAGTGGAGAGGAAGAGAAGTGAGCATGGATCAGGCGAGTAAAATGGCATTTTTTTCCAGCCCCCTAGCCAAAAGGAGCACTTCACCCTTGCAGTGTGTGTGTGTGTGTGTGTGTGTGTGGGGGGGGGGAAGGGTAAGTTTTGGATTTTCCTGGAGTCCTTTCTCTAAAACAGATTCTTTTGAGAATTCAGGAATTGTTCCTTATGGAAGGTCTGCAGATCATTCCTTGCGTCATCATCGGAGCAGTCCTGCTGAACCGGAGCCTCTCTCCACTCCGGGTGATGACACACATCTGACTCAAGGGTGCTGAGAATAGGCGCAGCCACCTATCTACGAAGGCAGAGATTGGGCTGTTACACTCGTCAGTCTCTAATCTATGGTGGGGGCCAACCAGGGGAGGAATTCCTACTTAAAAGGCAACTATAGAGGAGCCAACAAAGCCTGAGTCACTCTGACTCACCCTTCCTATAGAATGTATGAGTCACAGACGGCTGTTATCACTTAGCTTTCTTAGTGTGAGCACAAGTTAAAGCACATGGTAAGAATCAGGAAAAGGACAACTTCCTTACAAATCCCCCCTTACTGATCTCCCCTCTGCATGAGTTAACCCTTTCTGGTCTCTCTCAGGTCCCCAAGGAAGATCTGGTTGATCACTTCTATGTAGGTGTTCTTTCTAAATCCACAGCAGCCACGTCATACCCCACAACTCTTGTTATTGTACAGAGTCATGGTTTCCCTGTATTTGGAACTCATTAGTACATTTATTTAAATCCGTATCTCTTCTCATGCCGAGGGAGAGAACCTCTGTTTTGCAGCAGACTGCCTTGTCTCTGAAATGGATACACGGTGTCTGTGTGTAGGTTTGCAACCTGAGCCAGCACTACAGGAAGAGGCCCTGAGCTGCAAAGGGAAGTTCTCCCCCAGCATGAGAAGACATGAGGATTTAAAAGGAAGAGCAGCAAAGAGAAGGGAAACTACCATGGATTACAGTAAGGCGCACATTACAGTATTGGTTTATGTTAAAAAATCTGAGGGTTTAATGTCACTTTAAGTATCATGTGCTGGATAGCTGGAATGGGGAATTAAATTTTGTACTGCGCTACGCACGTGCATCTCTTTTATTATATAGTTATGGACTGATCGGAGTTGTTGCCTTTTCTTTCATGAAAAGTACATCAAACGCAGGTCACTAGCTTCTATTTACATCAATAGCATAGCATGGATTACAGTTCTAAGATAGGGTTAGTAGTGTTTTGCGGTTTTTTTTTGGATGCAGCAGGCTCTATGGAGTTCAGGATGCATTTTAGACGGAGCAGGTAAAACCAAGTCTTTTACTGCGTTCTGCATTCAAATGGGAAAAGGCAGTACTTGGCAACAATGCGGATCTACCCCTCCTCATGTATCACTTGCCCCTCCCTTTTAGATTGTAAGCCCTCAGGGGCAGGGCCCTCCGTATCGTCTTGTCTTGTGATTGTAATGTCTTCCTTATATTGTAAAGCACTGTGCAAACTGTTAGCGCAATATAAACCCTGAATAATAATAATGCATAATCTCTGTTTATCTAGTAATCCCAAGCAGCGCTATTAGGACTCACACGTACACCAGACATTAATGTTCCATTATAGGCTATAGAGCTGCATACGGCTTTACCAAGCCCCTGACTCCTACCACACAGCCATAGTCAATATAGGCGGAATGGATCAGTAGGGGGGAACCCTGGGCAAACAGCTAAATATGCATAGGTCAATCAGATGCCCAATGCTAGACTCTGGGCAGCCATGTGTACAGGGATGGGTGTCCGTTTACACCAAGTTACCCCCAACTCTGGCCAGGTCTGAAAAAACAAATGGATCAGACATCCGTTGCACTGGACATGATTGTGCTGGATTGGTGTTAATCTGATGTAAACTACTCAAAATTACAACAGTTAATTGACAGTATATGGTTCCAGAATATGATTACCGTTCATCCCCACACAGCTACCTCCTCATGTATCACTTGTCCCTCCCTTTTAGATTGTAAGCCCTCAGGGGCAGGGCCCTCCTTACCATCTTGTCTTGATATATAGTGTAGATAATGACAAACATTTCTAAAAAGGTGTTTGTTGGGTTTTTTTTTTTTTTTTAACGCTATGGGCAAAGGTCTGCTTTAACCAGTTGACATCCGCGGTGTTAAACCCCCTTCCCATCCAGGCCATTTTTCAGTATTCAGCGCTGCGGTACTTTGACTGACATTTATTCCGTCATGCAGCGCTGTACTGAAATGAATTTTATACCCTTTTTTGGGGACAGATAGAGCTTATAGGGGGCGCGCGCGAGCAGAAAAAAATTGCTGTCTGGAGACGGCAACCCGCAGATGCTGCAGTGCCGTCCGTCCGTTTTTTTACTACGGGCGGACGGCAAGAGGTTAAAGTGTATGTCAAAGCAAAAAAATATATAATATATAACATCCAAAGCAGATATAGAGGCACTCACGGGTCTTGCAGCAGAGAGTGCCTCTATCTACTTTGGACTTGCATGGATTCTTTTGTGGCTGTGCACCAGGCAGTTAACATACATACATACATACATACATACATACATACATACATACCTTTAAAGACCCTGCAATTACAGAAAAATACCTGTCCGTCCATCTACCAGAAAGGCATTTAAGCCCCCATTGAACACTGACAAAACACAACATTTTACAGGATGAAGTGATGTCAGCTCTGCCTAGCCGTCTTTTCCTAAACGACTCAATCACTCCCATTTCTTCAACATAAAGGCTGATCATTTTGTAATCCAAGTTAAGAACTAGAATAAACGGATTGAGATTACACGAGAAGTGTATATGGAACATGTCTGTGAAGGTTCTCATTCATCCAGGTCATGGTATATCTGTAAAAAAAGCAAAAGCAACTGGACTTGCTGTATTTTTCTTGAAGACGTTTCACTGGTCATCCGACCAGCTTTCTCAATTCAGAATGACTTATTTATTCCCAGATAATGTTTTGAATGCATTCGCTTAGTTTTGATTCGGATTTTGCGTTATTTCGTTTTTCGGGTCCGAAAGTCGATTCATTTCGGATTCGTAGTCTGTACGAACTTTCGTTGTGTTCGTTTCGTTCATTGGTTCCATATGAAAAGTAGTATGACACCTCGGCTCACAGACCCGAATGGCATTCGGGAGCTCATGCATAGCATTCGGAGCTCCCGAATGCTATGTTGTATTTGACAGCTGAGAATGTCAAATGGGCGGATCGAGTCGTGACGTCACAGCTCGCTCTGCCCATCTGTTTACTTTCGGGCTGAATGTCATTTTGCGGCGAGTTTTTCGTCGGGTTCGGACGGTCGTCATGCGGCGGGACTTTATTTATTTAGGCGGATGTCGTGCATCGTGATTGCCGCTGGATTACATCTATGGAGCCATTTTTTACAGGAATAGTCAAATATTGACTGTTTTGTTGTTTTTTTTAAATGAAAGGATCTTTTTTTTAAAGTGTGGTTTCTTTATTTATTTTGAATTTGAACTCTTTAGTAAATGGGTAGGGGTACAAGTACCACTTACTCATTCACCAAGGGGGGGGCGGCATCTGGGTGCCCCAGGGGTATTATTTGCAGGGGTACCCCGATGCAAATAAGCCCCCTTGCCCGCAGACCACAAACACCGGGCCAGGGTTATGGGGAACAGGCCCTTGTCCCCATCGGCCTGAAGGGTCTGGTGTCAGTTGGGGGTGGACCTCACACTTTTTTTTTTTTCCTCTTCTGCAGGCTGAAAAAAAAAAAAAAAAGGGGAGGTTTTTCCCTCAATTATCACTTTGCTGCAACGAACGAAAACTAAACTAATTTTGGAATCGGAAATTCCCATTAGTTTTAGCTGTAATTTGGAACGAAACGAATCGCACATGTCTAATTTTTTGTACAAGTCATTCTGAATTGAGAAAGCTAGTCAAGAAAAATACAGCAAGTCCAGCTGCCTTGATTTATTTTGTACAGATCTGCATGGAACTGCTCTGAAATTCTGAGAATGATCAACAGGTCTTTTACACTTCTCAAAAACACATAATGTAAAAAAACTTTCAATGGTATATCCAACAGACTAAAAGGGAGCAGATAAGAGAAGTTCAACGTTCGGTTTAACATAGACTTTAAGGCGTGAGGACGCCCGCACTTCTGCTTGGCCATAACATATGTGTGCTGGACATATTTTGGAGTGGTCTGTGTAATCATGAACCTGCCCTCCCTCTCTTTTTTTTTTAGGCAAGACAACATTCAGGGCAGTACATAGATGACCCGCACTGTGGTGAGACCACACAGAAGCATTATGCACCAGGTCAGACCTACCAGGTGCCAACTTAGGTCTGAGGGTAGGATGACAACAACCAAGAGTTTGAGATTCAGACTTGCCCAGGAAAAAAAAGAGTTTGGGCCAAGTTTATGCTTTTAACAATTTCAACTCTTAACGTCACCATCATCCTAAAAACAAAAACATGTGCCAGTGCTCGGGCCTAGTGATATGTTGCTTAGATACGAAAACTGCATTAGGGGTGGGGGTTGTCCCATATTTTTTTAGGAACCTGGAAATTTAGGCTATTTGAGGAGGCTCGATCATTGTGTCAGAGCAGTGAGGCAGTATGTTAAAAGCAGGAATCAAAAAATGGTGCCTGCTCAACCGTACACTACAACGGTAGTGTAAATGTGAAACCTTTATACACTATATAGGTTTATTTAAACCAGAGCTGGACAAATCCCAGGAGCCAGGTAGCCAATGCTCCTTAAAAATTGCAGCCCGTGCCCAACGTTTGTGGTTTTCTCTAGTTGTGGTCAATGGTGCTGGCTCCTGGATAGGACAGGCTGGCTCCTGAACTCCATATTCTCTGTCCACCCCTTATTAAAACCAATGACATTCTGGACATGTGACCATATTTTGCCTCGACCACTGATACTGAAACCTGTAACTGAACAGCCATTCTATCAACCAGCATCTACAACTCACCTCGTTATAAAGATCACTGAATTCTTCAACCAAATCTTTCGGGATCCTCTGGCCACTGCCGGTGAGGTAGTGCGCCACTCCATTCTTGGAGTAAAGGCTGATGCGACCAACACTTCTCTCTCCATCGGTGGTTTCCTCCAATAAGCCATTGTCTTCTGCTAGATGATAGACGGGGTTGCCATTTGACCCATGAATCCAAGTAGCTCCCAGTTCAAATGTAGCGTGGTCTACAAAAAGAGAATATGAAACTAATACCCAAACTGTAACTCTTAACCACAGCACCCATGAAAATATTTTTTTTCCAATCCAAAAATGTCCAACTTTCCCCATTACAAAGGAGTTGAATAATCAGGAATAAGGTATAGACACTCACCAAGTTTTATACTTTGTACCCTGCCTCCTATCCGATCAGACGCCTCAAGGATGGTGACATCCGTGAATCCTCTGTCAAGGAGATATTTTGCCGCTGACAGGCCCGCAAGCCCCGCCCCAATAATCACTATTCGCGGTCGTCGGTTTCTCCGTGGGCCACTACTAAGAGGATCATCAGTGCTGTCTGAAGATATTTCACAACTTTGCATGCCGTCCAAGCTCTTCTTTTAGTTAACCTGATGGAGAAAAGAGGCAACAAGAATTAAAATCTAAAAAGGACTGAACCCAATGTATCAAAGAACATCCTTGCACTTCTGTAAAAGAGCTTTCTTATCACATCATATAACAATTTCCACAGACTTCAAGAAGAACTCCAGGAATGAAAGATAACCCTTGCAGTGGGACTTCCCCTGTACTGCAAGGGTTAACTGCTAGTTTTTCTCTAGGGGCTGGAATACAGCACTCACCTGATCTTCGGGTCCTTCAGCAGTCAGCACTAACCCCTCTCTCCGTCCACTCCAGCTGTGATATGTCCATGGGCACCCTCACACCCAATTCAGGCAAATGGACCTGCATTAGACGTGATGATGGGGGCAGGCCTTAGAACGCTGGAGCCTGGGGAAGAAGGGACTGGTTCGTCTATATTCGGGCCGCTACACCAAAACAAGCAGTTAACCTGTGGGTAGCCCCACTGCAAGGGTTAAAAGGAGAACTATGGGGTTAGGGCTTTTCCACATAGTTCTCCTTAGGGTAATGGGAGGACACAAACTAGCGTCCTCCCGTCACCCTAGGCTCAGTATACAGCGAGCCACAGCTCGCGGTATACTGAGACGCCGCAGTATACCGCGAGCTACAGCTCGCGGTATACTGAGACACCGCAGCTGAAGCGAATCCCGACAATCATGTCTGGATCTGCCCAGCTGTGTGAGTGACAGCTGGCTCTGCCTATCAAAAGGCAGAGCCAACTGTACCCGCCCCCTCCCCCGTCCGTTCCACCAGTCAGCGCTGGAGGATCAGAGTGGGGAGGGGGGAAAGCCGTGACAGGATCGAGAAGTGAGCGAACACTGGTATGTGTTCTCTCACCTCCCGATCTACTGAGCCGACCTGTGACAGTCTCATTGTCACAGGTCAGCTAGAACTATGAGGTGAGTGAAAAGCACCCACCTCATAGTTCTCCTTTAACTTTGTTCATTCCTGGGCTTCTTCTTTAATTGATAAACTGAAGCAGCATATGAAATTAGACAACTTATCAAATGACCATAGAGTAAATGAGGCTTACAAAACTCCATCAGGTGTCAGCACGTTAATTAGGACCATAGAGTAGAGTAAGCCTATGATGAATAGTAAAATTACATGTAATATTCTGGGCTAAAGTCCAAAACCTCAAATGACTAACCCAACTAGCAAAAACATCCGCACCAACACTTCCAAGTGCATCGCTAACTAGGGTTATTTATAGTGCACCAACTTAGACAAGTGCTTTCAAAGAATGATTGCACGGACTGTCAAAGAGGTCCTTTCTCTCAAGGTGGTTAGAGGCCATTGTTATTCAAAGAGCCGACATTTAGCTCCCTATTTAGCCAGGCAAAGCCATCTCCATGCTCCCTTGTCTTGTCCCGATACTGGAAGCTCAAGTATCGGGCCAGGCATCTGAGCATGTGGACGAGTACGAGCAAGCAGTAGATATATGCAAAAACATTTTTTTTTTTTTTTAAAGTTACCAAATTGATCAAATTTAACCAGTGTCTCTTCTTCACAAGCTCCCGTCCGAAGATCTGAAGATTCATGGGGATGAAGGATCATGGGGCTAGCGCATGCGCAGTAGAGATCTTCGGCCAGGAGAGACACAGGAGACGCTGCGGTCAGCGCTGGATCAGAGACCGGCACCAGCGCTGAAAGGACTCCTGAAAACTACTGGAAAGAAGATGATGATCGGATCAAGAGGCATCATTTAAGGGAAGTCCTTAAAGCAGCATGGGGGGTGAGGGGGGGGAATGTAATGTGACTTTGATGTCACTAAGTTCTTTCAGATGTAGCTATTACCCTCTGCATGGTCTAATAACTCAATCACATTAATTTTTTTTGGCGGCTAGAAATTGTATATTAGCAGTTTTAGAATTTTAAAGTAGAAAAAGCTTGCCAGAGCTCTTTCCGCAAAATCATGTTTCCCCGCAACAGTTTACTTTGTTATTAGACTGTAAAAATCTGCAGAAAAGTGCCGGTGCTGCAGAAATAAACACAGCCTACTTGGCAGAGGATGTCAAGTACAGAGACGGGAGGAAGAAAGCGGAGCACGCACGGCGTTTCACAGAAGGAAAAACAAATTAGTTTTGTTGTGAAAGGAGCCTCCGAGCTCTTGTTCATCACACACAGAGGAGAAGCAAAAGGCTCCTATTAACCCACAACGACGGCCTCCTATAATCAGGGAGCTTATGAACCAGAAAGACTTGGCACGACTGGGATAAAGGAGGAAGTACAGAGAAAAGGGGTTCTTGGAATCCTTGAGATGCGTGGTACTGGCACTGCAATAATGGGCACGCAAACCCAGGGAAGGGCTACAAACGTGGAAGGAACACATAGATTATCTGGGAACAGGTTGTGCTATGATAGAGGTAGCTACATTCAAGGCTTTACATATCACACATCCACCCAACGGAAAAGCAACGGGACCTTGTCTTCTGTTTAAAGTGTGCTTGCGATCAACAGACAAATGAATCTTTTGATTTGCGATCTAAGGGCTTGTTAACACCAGATGCAGACCAGATCTGCATGAGTTTCTGCACACGCAGTACAATGTGTTATACTGCGTTTATTGCCGCGTTTTTGATGCGTTCCGGGCCAGTTTTGGTTTAAAATTGGCTTTCAGAACGTTCCAGGGCGTTTGTATGCGTTCTAGAGCAGGTAAAACAGGGCTTGCTGCAGTATTTTTACATGCTCTGGAACTGAACGCTGCGTTGTGAACTAGAGGCCAAAATACCATTGGAATACATTGGACGCAGTTTTGATCCGGTCTGTAACTGCTCTGCTCCTGGAACGCGCTTGGTGGGAACAAGGCCTAAAACTCAAAATGTTATGGACGTTGTGGAGAAGGGTTAGAACCTCTGTCAGGTTCCTACTCCTGTCTGCCCCCACTGGAAAAATTCATCCTCTACACCTGTCCCGATGACAACTCCAAATTTTTACAGTGGTCACCTGAATGGGAGAAAAGGGGGGTAGGATGGGAAATCATCAACACCTGTTACAAGTTAATTTGTCTAAGAGGACACACACACACACACCACTTTAAAAAAATAAATTTAATAAAAAAGGAACATACATCTTATATCTCTGGAATACATGTACATTTCCTTATGTTTTATCCCCCCGAATACGCTGCAATTAGAGAAAAAGAACGATTGATGCGCCAGAAATCTTGCATGTTACTACCTTCCTCTTTAATAGGACAACACAGTCCCTGGAACTCAGAAAGAGCATCGCAGACAGTCGCATATATTTGTTGCATAGAGCAAAGGTGGGGGGCAGCACGGAGGCCAGAGTGTCCTGGAAATCATCATTGGTTGGTTTGGTGCTGTGTGGCTAACAGCGTCCTAGCAACCAATGATGCTGTGTGTAGACAGCGTCCTAGCAACCAATGATGCTGTGTGTAGACAGCGTCCTAGCAAACAATGATGCTGTGTGTAGACAGCGTCCTAGCAACCAATGATGCTGTGTGTAGACAGCGTCCTAGCAACCAATGATGCTAAGGTTAGACAGCATCCTAGCAAGCAATAATAATAATAATAATAATAATACAGTTGGTAGACAGCATCCAAGCAACCAATGATAGTGTGTAGACCAAAACCTAGCAACCAATGATACTGTGGGTCAAAACTTTTGGGGGAGGGAGGTGCAGCACAGCCCTGCTTACTCTAAAATGTAATTAGTCTTGATTGCCTCCAGTTTTCTTAACTCCGAAATGGCAGAATTTGTTAAGTCATATAGGAGGGGAAAAAAAGTGTTGCGAATAAGAGCTTTGGTAATGCCAGAATTGAGTAGAAAAGCCTTTATTTACCTGCAGTGTACTTTTGGCTCTGAATTTCAAAGTACATGGTGTCAGCACTGACTGCTTCATTTCTGATACATTACAAAGAACACAGACCCCTCATAAGAC